CATTTACTCCTGTGACTCCATTATATTATTTACTGGTTTAATATTAGTACTGAGTGTAAGAATTTTGAGAAAGGTGCTATTATCCTCGTAGTAGAGTCGGTTTCGATTTCATCCATCGGTGGTTAACGACGGACCCGGAGGCGATCTGGTTGGATCGTGAATCACATTCGAGAACGGACCGGTTGGTTTAGACGCATCGGATCGCGGATCCGTAGCATGGCCCGTTCCTCGACGAGCGGTGAAAGGCGTTCCGCGGGTTTCCTTCGGCCTTTTAACGCCCTCGCCGCCGCGCGTAAGTGCTCCGCTGACTTCGGTATGCGCAGAATACCATTTCCAACTATTTGTTACTCGGTCTACTATGTGCGTTCACCTTCCCGACGAAATTCAATCGGCCGAGTCATTGCGTCAGTTTCACGTGGGAGATTGCGTGTTACAATAAAAATTTCTATACAATGCTTAATGATTTCTGTTGAAATTAGAGTGACTACATATCATTTAATGATTTCTGAAGTAGATTCGAGAACTCATGGAAATTAGTTTACTGTAAAGTAAGGCGCGATGGATGAAAGTGACACGTACAGCCAGCGATAAGTAGTTGAATTATTTGCTGGAGTCCTAGGAAAGCTATTCAGGCCTGATCTTCACTGAACTACTCGGTGTGGTTTTGTAAATGATTGGAATCCGCCCAGCGGACTCCGAAACCGGTAATTATAGTCAATCTCGAGCAGGGTCTCGGGGTAATTACGACAGCCACCGACAGAGAGAGGAATTACTGAATTTCGTCGGCTAGATTCGACCGCTAATCAATTACGCTTAACGATTCTACGAAGACCCAGCGTCGAAGGAGAAAACGCACGCCCGTTACTACCGTTATTATCTCTAGAAAGGCAAATGACCAGGTGAATATGCATGCACCCAGTGTAAATTGCGTACGTCCATTATCCCCACGTTTCTTCTTCCCGCGTCTTTTTACTTGGAGAACGAATTTCCGTTTCTAATGGTAGCTATCAGATCGATGCTATGAATCATGCTTCTATCTAAGGTGGAGTTTTGTTTCTTTTGAGACGATCTTTCAAATAATTGGATACCTAACCAAATTTAGCCTAGCCTATCCTAGCCTAGATTAGCCTAGCCTATCCTAGCCTACCTTAGCCTAGCCTATCCTAGCCTACCTTAGCCTAGCCTATCCTAGCCTACCTTAGCCTAGCCTATCCTAGCCTACCTTAGCCTAGCCTATCCTAGCCTACCTTAGCCTAGCCTATCCTA